TCGTATGCCGGCCGTGGAAGCCTTCGACAATACATTGTTTATAGTTTCCTGGCTTATTCCTGGTTTGGTATTACATCTCACTCAAACCTCTAACCAAGCCACAAAGATTCAAGGCAAGCCAGAAAAAATGAAAGAAAATAAGGAGAAATTTGCCAAGTCAGTCATAATGGTTTGCAAGACAGACTGCTTGTTCAAAAAATTGAGCTTAAAACAGTGGCTTAATGTGACATGTGAATGCAGCCACAAAGCCCTATTTAGTGAGTCAAGCCTTCTACAGTTTTCTCCAACACCCACCCCCCTCTATCACCTTTACAGATAGCAGGAGGATTCTCTCTTTTATGTAACTGATTGTGTCATTCACAGCCAGTATATGGGAGTGAGTTATGTTCTTATAAGCTATCCAGACAGGAACACATTTATGAATTTAACCTCTAAATATAATTATTATTGGAAGATAACAGCTAGAACCAACAGTCATTTTATATAAGATTGCAAAGAACAATTTATCCTCCCGTCTTTAATCGCTATCCTGCTACATTTTTATATTTTCTCCCTCACTCTTGTAATTATCTTTGACTTTCTCTTCTGAATAACTTTCTCATCTCACTTTCATTTGGTCCCCCCCATCACTAGTCACCTATCTGTCCAGAGGGCAGACAAAAATATAATATGTAAATGTCAAATGTCCACACAGAAAGTTTTGAACCTGGGTCTAACTGACCCATCTGTACTTTTCCATCCAGACCTTGAGCGTTATCTCTGAGTACTCTAAAATGTAAGAAATAAAGAGTAAGCTTCATGTTGAGCAAAGGTTTGGACTTTAGTCTCCTCAGTTTACTCCCAGCTCTGTCCAGTATACCTAACTGGTGCTTGGTGTAGTCTTTAAAAGTGAAAAAAAGAGAATAATGTTATATCGCTGTTTAAAACGATTTCATAATTTAATACAATTAATATGCTTCCTTAATGCAACATTTTTATACACACCATATTTTATGATATTGTATGATTCTTTAGGAATTCTCTAAAGAGATCGATGATAAATCTTCCTTGAAGTCTTCGGTCATAAGTACTGGAAATCAGCTCTTGCTTATTAAGGAATCTGATGCTGCAAAGTTGCGGTCATCTTTGGCAGAGTATGAGCAGAGATGGACTGACCTGGTTGCTCAATTGCCAGACATCCAAGAGAAGTTTCAACAGGTAAAAAGCAATTCATCAGCCAAGCCACTAGACGTCAACAACTTTGAAGACTGCCATAGTTATTCATTGCACACTGCTGTATATTACATATCTCAATCATTTCTCTGTTTAAAGATTCTTACCTATCCATTTTATCTAAGGTGAATCCATGAAATTGAAGTATTAAATACTACCATTGTTGCAGTTCCTGCTAGTGGTACAAGCATTTATATAAAACTCAAGAATGCTGATCCACAATTGTCCTACTAAAAAGTTCAACTGAAACTGCCCAATATTGTTCTTTATCTTTGACTTGTAATAGCAAATGTCTCAGCAGTTTAAAACATATAATCTTCCTGCACTCCTGTATAGTTGTGGGGGAAAGAGAGAAGACGATGACATGTGCAACATGATGTCATCACACAAATGGCATTCCTTACACAGTATAGTTCCCTCAGACATAATGACTTCATGACACAAGTGCATCATTTGCATAATAATATGCAGATGTCATTTTGACATCGTTGTGGCTTATTGCAGATGCCACTGTGTAGTTGTAAAGTTTGTGCCTCTTTCTTAACTTGTGAACACTAAGGATAATTTGCTAAGAATCAAGTGAACTGACCCGAAGGGGGATGTCTACATCACAGTCAAAAATGACATCTACTCCACATAGAAAAGCAGTGGGGGAGGGGGGAGAGAAAGAGTAAGATAAAAAATCCAGAGCCTTTCTGAATTTTAAATATTCTTCTGCAGACAGTGCTGACTACTGTTAGCTCTAAAGTCATTATAGGAGGGATAGTTTGATGCTTATATACCAGCAGTTTGTGGTCACTGGCTTATTTTTGGAAGCCCCATGGCAAGAGTATTCTGTCCCTTGTCTAGTAGTACACTAAGCAGGGAGATAAAGAGAAAGGCAGAGGAAGATCAGGGACTGGAGAAAACGAGAGAAAAGTGAGTGGTTCCATTCTCCAGTAACCTGCAGTATTTAACAGACTGCCCGAAAGGAATGCAGCTCTGGGCAGAAAAATATTTCCCAGTTCAGATTAAAAAATAGAACAGAGAAAAGGCTACTCTCTCCAACAGTGGCTAAATATTAGCCTCATAACCTGCTAGTGTGATAAGCACCCTGGACGCAGGATGCAGCTTCAGTTTGTTCTCCCAGTATCTTTTTTTTCCTGACTGCTTATAAGAGAGGTCTTTCAGGCAACTGCAACTTCTGCACACAGTTATTACAAAGTGCTTCAAAGTGGCAGTACAATCGTTTTTATCTGTGGAACACTGCTATGGGAAAGTGCATGATATCTATATAAAAATCAGACTTGGGGATCTTCTGTGTGCATTCTGAAAACTACTGAGGGGTTATGACAATGTCTATATTTGATTCTCTGCTAAGACTGAGCTGTGAAATTGAGCAGAGAATACTCCAAAGTCTAAGGAGACAGTGGAAGGGAGGGAGTTGTTGTACAGAATTTTTTGTTTTTGTTTGTTTGCTTAACCTACATCAAATAATCAGATGTGCAGGAACAAATGAGCAGTGGCTTCAACATGTGCATGTCTGTGGACAGAGAAATGCATTAAAGCAAGGAAAGATGACATCACCTATTGGAATCTATAGTCAAGGAGCTATTGGTTGCCAGAGAGACACAGTTTTTTAGAATTTCCTACTTCTCCCACAGTTATGAACAATGCCATTCATATTCACATTTAGAAAACTACCGAAAGTGCACAGCACAGTTCCTCATGTGTCTTCCAAGTGGCAATTTTATTTATTTATTAAATTTAAATGAAAATGATTCCATCTGATTTGGTCCATTGCTGCTTCTGAGAGATTGATTTTACAAGTAGAAACTCAAGAGACTGTGCATCTGCAGACACATTTATTAGGTCTTCACTACTGTTTTCATCAGGGTGAACAGGAGCCATCCTAATGCTAGTCCACTGCTTCAGCACACCTCTTTGCTTTATCACTAATACATATCTATCCCAAGAATAATGATGAACATTAAGCGCACAGGAGAATAGTTCTAACTTTTATATGTCGTGTTTATCTTTCAATATCTCAGAAAATACATTACATTTTGTTTCTTAAAACAAACTCTATTTTTTTAAAAAAGAAGTATAATGGTATAATTTTGTAACAGCTCCAGATGGCAAAGTTGCCATCTCATGAAGCGATCACAGAACTGAATGCCTGGATGAATCGCATTGAAAAGCAAAGAAGAAATGAGGTGGTAATTAATTTGCAAAGTCCTGCCAGCCAAGTGAAAGGCGTTCTTAGGAAGTACAAGGTAAGCAAGACACTATAAGTGCCAGACGTCTAGAAATGATTTCACTTCCCTTTGGGCAGAGAAGAAAATAACGTTCAAATAGGGAATCATACTATGTGGCCTATTTGAGTCAACTGAGATCATGGGATAGGGAATTATAACAATATTCTCTATATTTTTAGGGAGTGAATGGTACCTTGCATCATCAATTTGGTCCATCACCCAGAGTCACTTTATGTGAGATGGGTGGCCATATAAATTTGATATATCTATCTATCTATTTACCTCCCTCCCTCCCTCCCTCTGATATTGTCTACTTTACCTTCCTACTTTCCCCTTACATACCATCCTACCCCACTGTGTGCCCAGGCAGCAATTAGCAGGCATCAGCCAGTCTACCCTTAGTATCCTACAGTTAGAAGGAACCACTTAGGCATTCTAGTCCAATCTTCTACTCAGTGCAGGAATCCAAATTGGGAAAAAAACAGATTAGGCCTTTTCATATAGATTTGGTTGGGGGTAGGCAGAAGATGTTTGGGCAGTACCTATAAAATCTCATTTCATTTGTGGCATGTTCTAGAACTAGCACCAAAAAAAGATGTCCTTTTCATCATAGGGGATTGGAATGCTAAAGTAGGAAGTCAAGGAGTAATCGGAATAACAGGCAAGTTTGGCCTTGGAGTACAAAATGAAGCAGGGCAAAGGCTAATAGAACAAGAGAACAAGGTAGTCATAGCAAACACTCTTTTCCAACAACACAAGAGATGACTCTACACATGGACATCACCAGATGGTCAATACCGAAACCAGATTGATTA